TTTATGTTATACTTCCCCGAGCACCATCTTCACGCTCTGTTTGGTATTAAGGTGGAATTTGATTAAGAAAATGAAAAGCGCCACATATATATACATATATATATATATATATATATATATATATATATATATATATATATATATACATATATATATCTATGTATATGTATATATATATATATATATACATATACATAGATATATATATGTATATATATATATATATATATATTTGAAATTATAACTGTATGAGGAAATGGGTGTCATCAGAAGTTAGTGAATTTTGTATTTATACTTTTAATTTTGAAGTTATAGCACGTAATTGCATTGCACAACATAAAGATACATATACTATCATTTGATGTTCTTTGAAACTATGATAGATATTAATAAGCGTTTCAGAACTCCTTTAGACATCTTATAAGATGTTGTACACTAATTACACTGAAATCTGCAACGAGGCAGGCTTGTGCTTTCCAATTTTGCCCCTCGACCAATAGCCAAATGATAGCACAACTATATAATAAAATGATTAGATTTCATACTAAAATATGAAATGCATGAACATATAAGCAATTAACAGACTCGAACTGGTGACATCAATGCGCGAAACTAATCATTTCAATCCTACAATTCATGGATACATCATATACATATATATATATATATATACATATATATATATATATATATACATATATATATATATATATACATATATATATATATATATACATATATATATATATATATACATATATACATATATATATATACATATATATATATATATACATATATATATATATATACATATATATATATATACATATATATATATATATATATATATATATATATATATATATATATATTCATTCATTCTTTAAGGTTAAAGGGCCCCGTCCACCATCACTACTCCACCCTAAATAAAATACGAAAGACTAATTTCAAGTACTGCAGCAGTATAGACATACTACGAAAGATCAATATACAGCAGTAGTGTTTCTTAGGAGACAATCCGACAGAAAAATATACAGCAGCAGTGATCTACTTCGTAACTTCAACACACATCAGCAGACTCCGTAAAAACAGCATCAGCAGCAGGACCTCATTTGTAGAAATCAAAATCCGTCTCTGGCTTCTTTACATTAGTCCGGTAGCCCTTCTCAAAATCCTTGGGAAGAATGACATAGCGGTTCTTCCGGACAGCATGCATCCCTGCTTCTTGGCAGATAGCAGCAATCTGCAAAACAGATGCTTGTTGCTGTCAGGCAAGACAAGTGGAATCTTTCTAAATCAAGAAGTGAAAATACTGAGAAAATATTTAATAAAAAAAGCACCGAGTCCCAATAAACAAACTGTATCAAACACTTCCTCAAACATTTAACTCACTTGAAAACTGCAAGAACACTGAACGTTATTATTATGAAACAGTTAACTATCTGAATTCTGGAAACTTGGGTATTCAAGCCAGTTCCATTTACATTTTGGTTAGAGGCACCTGAAAGCTTTTCTAATTGACCTGCTAAACACAACCTTTCTTTTCTTGTTTGGAATGATGGCAGGGTGTTTATAGGAGCAAGTCTTGGGGGAACCAGCACCCAAGGTTTAGGGTTGGTATCCTACAATAAGATTTAATCTGACTCAAAATATGCAAGACAGACCTTGAGACCAAGTTAAATGATCTCATCAATCATTCAAGACTGAATGGGTTTTGACAGAAAACCAAAGAATAAATTCTTCACATTTCTCCTTTTACCAAAGAGTCCAAGGATATATTTTCCATGATTCTGTACCAAAGAAGCACGCTACCTAGTAAATAACAAATTATCTGAATTAATCTCATGATACTTAAACTTTTTCCCCCCAAGTTTGCATGTCTGGTTTCCTTTGATTATAAGAGAGAAGAGAGAAAGAGAGATGAAGCAGACAAAGTCAGTCTTAAACTACACAGAATAGAGCAAAATAATGTTACACACAACAATGCTCAAGCAATAGTGACAAATCTTACCGAAGAAAACAAATTTCTTTATGATTTTTTTGTTTTTCTCAAAAGGATAAGTAGTGAAAGCGGACTTTGATCCCAAGACCTTACAATCGTTTTTACCAGTCAAGCTACCTAGCACGTTCAAAAAACTTATTGCCGGATGAGGCTTCGACTCTTAACCTTTGATATCTGGGTCTGTTATAGCAGACCCACATATACCACTACCAGACCAGTGTTTTAAGCATCTAAATGTTGGATAAGATTTTGAACCCTCAACCTTTACTAAGTGGATAACCAATGTTTTAATGTTTTAAATGTAAAAATATACTAGATGATGTTTCAAAACCACAACCTTTGTTAATGTTTTAAATGTAAATAGTAATACTAATTTAATGTGTCTGCCGGGAGAACATCTTTTATGCAAATTGTATGCAAAAAGCCTATTCTGAAAGCGAAAAAATGAGCAAGAACATCTTTAATTAGCATAATACAGAAATGAACAGAACATCTTTAATTCCCAAATGCAAATTAATGATAAAAAATATATATTGCTAACCTCAGCAGCACTAATTTTATCAGGTCGAGAAACATAATCTTCCAAGTCGACCTCATCACTAAGATTCATTTTAGCAGTGCAGACCTGAATGAAAACAATCCAAAAGCATTAAAGGCTCCTTATAATCAGGAAATCCTTTCAAATCAAGTTCAACTATAAAGAATGACACTTAAACCTGGCAAATGTGCTAGCTACAGCATTCAATGCAAAATTTGCATGATCAATAAGCAGTTTAAGAAATAATGCATAGTTTATATCTAGACTAGTCATGAATTATGAAGAATAAGAAGATATGTGATCGTCAGGCTTTGATCAGCTTCCTTGCTTACTTCTGGCAGGCCTTACCAAAATTTCTCTAATGATTAACTAACTTGGGACCAGAATTTTTCAGACATGACTTACCTCTAGAAGAGTGTAGATTGACACAAAGAAAATCACTTCCAATAATGATTAAAAAGAAAAAACAAATTTCTAAGGAGTTTCACTTCCAATAATGTTTTTCATATCATGCTGCTTTAATTTTTAAAGAATCCAGAACGAACGAATCTGTATTAAGCTTTAGTCATTAGGAAAACAAGCAAGGAAAAACTATCTCAATCAATAAATATAATTGTAAAATGTCATTTAAAGCATATTGATGCCCAGTATACTATATAATTGGATCAAAATTAGGGCAAGAAAAAAATTACTTGAAAAACTAATCTCTTTTGTCGCCTATCGGGCAATGGAAATTCAATTTTCCGATCAAGTCTTCCTGGACGGAGAAGTGCAGGATCTAGAGTATCAGCTCGATTGGTTGCCATTATGACCTTCACATTGACTGTTTGATCGAATCCATCCATCTGCAGTAGAATTTTAAACATCAAACCGCTGAAGGCACAAAAAATGTAATTGGGCAAAGAAAATAAGTTAAACATGAAGGACTAAGGCATGATCAAGAAATAAGCATGACAGGTAACTTGAATTGTTCCAAATGTATGCTTTTCTAGCACAATAGAAATCTTTAGCAATTAAAGACTAACCTGCCAACGATATAAGGTCAAACTTGGAGTTTGATGATTTATCAGAAATGAAACATGATTTGAGATTTCAATAATGTTTATTTTGTTTAGCAATATGGTAGTACCATAGGGAGTACCCAAAAAAAAAAAGAGTGATAGTATCAATGGTTAGATGAGGATTAGTGAGATGAAATAGAGAGAAGAATACTCTGTTCACAGCATTAAAATTCAACTTGTAGTGTTATAATTTTTCTTGACTTAAAAAGAAAAACCCTAACAATGATATCAATCATCTTTCTTCTTCAAATGGCTAAAACTTTCAAATGCTGTTACTAGTTAATTCCAGTAATATCATTCTGCTTGACTTAAAAAAAAATCCCTTACGGTGATATCAATCAACTTTCTTCAAACAACTAACTTCTAACCCAGAGAATTGATAAAAATTTACATCTTGCACCCGAAAAATTACCTGATTCAATAGTTCCATAAGTATTCGCTGAACTTCCCTGTCAGCTCCAGTTTGTGCATCAAAACGTGCTGTAGCAATAGCATCAACCTCATCAATGAATATAATTGCTGGAGCATTTTCTTTTGCGAGGCGGAAGACATCCCTAACCATTCTTGGACCCTAAACAAGTAAAGAGATATCTATCTCATGAACACAGGCATAAGCAAACTCCAGCATAAAAAATCATTGAACAAGAAAAGTCAAAATCATTGTCGAGGTTTCTTTTGGAATTGCACGAAGTACGGAACTAAAACATACCTCACCCAAATACTTCTGAACAAACTCAGACCCAACAACTCTAATAAAAGCAGCAGTTGTATGATGGGCTACAGCCTTGGCAAGCATGGTTTTACCCGTCCCTGGAGGGCCATACAAAAGCACACCTCTTGGAGGATCTATACCGATCTGCTTGTATAACTCATGATGTGTCAAAGGTAATTCAACAGCTTCCCGAATTTCCTGCTTCTGAGTATCATAGCCTCCAATATCCTGGATAAGAAAAGAGAAAATCACGAAGCAGAAAATAATATGTTCTGGAAGTAGGCAGGCAATGCTAATTGAACAAAACAATGGAATAACATGTATAGTTTACATGTATGCATGTGCATATATCACAATGATTTCCCATCAAGCAAATCAAACCTTCAAGAGAGTAAACATCTTGTGACCTAAATAAACTCCCATACTATAAATTCAGGCTAAAATAGGGGAAAAAATATTTTCAGAACCTATTCAAGAACTGCTGAACATAAGGCCTGATTCTATTCAGCGATCACGAAAGCGCATCATCAGAACCAAAGTAAATAATTAAACCCTAATATTCCCTCAAGTCCTATTAAGAAGCAACGAGCAAAGATAAACATTCAGGCTGAAAGGGGAAATAATATCTTCTCCAAACCCTAATCAAGAAGTGCTGAAAAAGGACCCTAATTCGATCAAGACTGACAAAAGCTCATTCTCAGAACCAAAGCTAACGTTACCTCAACTCCTGACCTAATACACCCGACGAGAAGAATATCACGCTCAAAACCAAAGGTTTATCTAATCTTTTATTAAACCATAGTCAAGAATCGTCGAGCAACTTGTGACCTGATTCTTGCCCACGAAAATGAGAAGTTTCAAGAAAAAGGAATGTTCGTGGTGCAGAAGTTAGGGGTGAAGGGACGAGTCTAGGGTTTCTTGATAACAGACGTTGTAGGTGACGTCGGGCTTCTCAGACTGGCTGAGGAGGGAGATGCTACTGTCGGCCTCGGGTGGGAGGACGTCGACGAGGGCGTTGGAGTGGCGGTGGAGGGCGACAGAGGCCGAGGGCTTGAGGAGCTCGCGGTTGATGGTGCTGAGGATCCGGACATAGTAGTTGGAGCCGGTGGTGGAGCCGACGATGGCGTTGTTCTGGTCGACCATCTCCATGAACTGTCCGATGACGAGCGGCACCGACTGGATCCGCTTCACCTCCTCCTGGGCGCGGAGGTGCTCGCGCTTCAGGTTCTTGAGCTCGTCCTTCACGTACTCCTCCTGGATCTCGATGAACTCCAGCTGCCGCTGCAGGGACTTGAGGCGCCCATAGAGGTCGTCATCCTCGTCGCCAGGGAGGGAGGATGAGGGACTCACGGAGGCGGCGATGCTCGCTGGAGGGGCGGCCGGTGAGGGCTTCGCGTCCACAGCCATGGCCGCCATCAGAGACAGCTTCGACGAGAGGCTCTTCCGATGGAACCGAAACGAAAGAAAGGGCCCTCCGAGATAAGGATCGAGTTCGGCATCAATTAATAAAAGCGGGACCGAGTTAGTGACTCAACTCACTCGCCGAACCGATTCTCGTCGGCAACCCGGACAGTTAATCAACTACGCTCGTGCAAAGCACGTGATTTGATAGGAAACTTTGTCGCGATCCACGCAAGGCAGATGCACTCGACATTCTTATCGTAGATTAAGGCGGATTTCGGATTCGAACGAGCAGTTGCTCCAAAATCCGCATCGCACGATCATAATTCGTATGGTTAGCTTCTACTTGAAACATCTGAACACCGGTGGTCGAGAGAAGCCACGAGGAAGTCGATCAAAGAGAGCAGATTATTATGCCGATACAGAAAACTGAAACCAGATGGGTCTGCAATCCAATACATAATGACGGGACAGAGAGAAAGCAAACAGTCCTCCATTACAGAAACAAAACTAAGCACCACACAAGCCAAGCCAAGACTTGGTCCTAAGTTATCAATCGGCTTTCTTGCTCTCTGGGCCTTTGGGTTCGGTTGGCTGCTCCGCCGCTACTCTGGCTCGCTTGTCCTCCGCCATTTTCGCGGAGATTTCATCCCTCTCCTTGAAGTAATTCTCGAATGCACTAGGAAGGAACTTTGGGATCAAGAAGACGAAGAGGTTGATGGAGAAGTACAACATATTAGCTATCGCCAGCGACCTGCCGAACCACATCCAAGCCACGTCCTGAAGACAAGATAAACAGTCGAACATATTCTATTAGCTTCGCTACCTTTAGGTGAGATCGCAGTAGAAAGGATAACAGATGTCTTACGTTGACCGACGCGTTGGCCTGAAGCCGCTTGTTGAACCAGACGTCGTAAACCCAGTCGACGAGCACAAAAACCCTCCTCACCGTGTACAGCAGCGTAACCACTGCTCGAACGGGCGGGGAGAAGATGGCCATACCGTTGATTATGTTCTCCGTCAAGATCTGGCAGGAGAGAAGGAAGAGGTGCGGCGTGGCCGACCTCACCGAATGGTCGTCCCCGCGGGCGAAACCCCCGAGCACGAACGCCAGCGGCAGGAACAGCCCCACCGTCGTCCCCACCACCACGTAGGCCCGGAACGCTCGGCTGCCCCGGAACAGCTCCCGCCCCCCGCCGCCGCTTGCCCCAGAGCCGATGGAGGGGAAGGCGAAGCGCGAGAGGGCGATGACGTAGAAGGTGGAGAAAGCGGGGAAGACGAGGTCGAGCAGGGGGACGAGGCCGCTGGCGGAGAAAACCATGATGAAGGCCACGAGCTGGAGCTCGATCACCCTCAGGGAGCCCATCACCCCGCCCATGACCGTGGGATCCTGGTGCTTGCTGGTGGTGACCAGCGGCGCAAGCGCCACATCGTGATCGGAGCGCTGTCCGACGGCAAGAGAGAGGCCGGACATCGTTGCTTTGGGTTCCTTCTCGGCTGGTGTTCCGATGAGTGATGGGAGCAGGGAAGAGACGACATGTTCCCTTTCCCTGCATGGTTTGCATGGTCATGCATTGCCTCGCTGCTTGCCACGTTCGGAGGGCGATTAGGAGAGCGACGGCAGTTGCGACACATGGCAATGACATGGGATGAGGCGGCAGACTGCACTCGGACCGTGTCAACGTTATACCGAGGAAAGAGAGAGAACGTTGGATTGCGGTGTACGTGGGCGCATTTTAGCCGCAGTGCAGTTCATCGTTGTAAGTTGTTTTGCAGCAAATCCTGCCTCAGTGCAGCTTTTTTTCAGTGCCCGGCCCAATTGGGGAGGAAATTAAGCCCAATTTAGGGTCATGAGCAGCCCACGACAAGTCGATCACTGGTGCACTGCAAAGAACATCGATCTCATTTAGGTTCCCTGAAGGGGGGAGCGATTCCCACATGGTCTGAAGCCCGATGTCCTTGTTCGTGATACGGATCGCATGATCGAGAGGTGGTACTCATGGGAGTTCTTATGCAGTAGAATTTGGTCTCTTCCAAGGGAAATTTGTGGCATTTTTGGATGGCAGCTACCTCCAGTTCTGATACGTTTTGCTCCAGGCCGCAGATGAGATTCTGTGGGTGAGATCATCTGAACCATATCGCATTCCTTATCAATGATTTCCTTTGCACTTCCAACGGAGAAATCCAGAGAGGATTTCCGGGGTTTTTTGCGAGGTATCATCATCTGTTAAGAAGGTGTCGATTTCAATTATGCTTGTGGATGATTATTTTCTGAAAATAATGCTAGTTTTTCAATGTCTCAGTGTAGTTGGTTAAGATTCAAGAAATTGACATGGTTGTTGCTTGTGTGGTCTGTGACCTTCAGGATCAAAGAGAGATCGTTGCGTAGAACCCTTTTGGTGCTGTAAAAAGGGGACCTAAAATAACAAAACTAGAAGGCAGATGATATTTTATTCATCATTTGCTATGATTGCACAATAATAAGGTTTGCGATAACAGCCAAAGATCAAAGAAATAAAGGACCTGAATTCTGAATATTTATGCCCAAGGGAAGAAGTTAAGGCTTTTAGTTGATCCAACTATAGGTCTGCAATAGAGATGGTACAACATGCGGATTCTAATGGAGCTATCAGATAGGGCAATTTCCAAAATCCATGTCAGTTGTGCCCTGACTTCAACTTGTCAACTTGCACCAGGATAACCCACTGTCAATTTGAAAAACAATCAAATTGTAAGATTAGTTTCCATTTTTGGGAATTCATCATATCTTGAATTTTGCAATTTGTTCTATTTTATGTTTAGGGTTCTCTTTTGCAGTCCATGAGTACTAGGAACTCTAGGGTTATCTATGTGAGAAATCTTATCGTTTTCATCTATTCTCCATGGTCCATATCAAGGTTTGGCATACTGAAGCATACCGCTTGGTACGAGCGATACATACTGATATGACAGAAGATTGGTATAGGCGGTACATCAATACACTCTAGTGTACCATGTGTTGGTACACTCGATATAGCTCAGTGCGTACCGTACCGATAGCTGGTTGGTACATTGGTATGGACCGGTAATGCAAACCATGGTCCATACCATAACTCATCCCATTCTTCACTTGTGCATGTAGCTTAGGTGTATTCCGTATTTATAATCCATAGACTTGGATTAGTAATCCTAAGTTCATGAAAAAGTTTAGTTGTTCTTGACAGTCATACAAGAGCTGCAAGTAAACGCCCAAGGAAAATGGACACAAGAGACTTAACACCCAACAAATAGTTTTGAATAGCATTGGAATGCAGATCTGTCTTGAGCTTATTATATTATTTAAGAACAACGAATCCATCTGTCCTATATTACCAAATCACTAAAAGAATTTCTCGGAAACTCCTTATCAATCTGGAGAACTGCTGCCAGAAGTAGTGAAGGAAGAAGCAACAGTTGTTGTAGTCCTACTTGCAGTCGAAGTGAAGCACTAATAGACACATTGTCGACCAGGGGACCACATATCACGTGATCACTAGTTTCACCTCCCTGTACGTTCATAAAACCGATAGAAGTAAGATTGGTTTCTGCCCTGAAACCCAGTGAGAACTTCTTACTGTATCCTGTGCCATTGCTTGGTAAAGTGAAGTTTTGGCTTGTTGGACCTGCTTGGACTCCCAAAATAAGTTCTCCAGTGCATGAATCAATAGGAACTCCCATGACAAACTCCAAACGGTATGAAGATCCTTCTTTTAGCAAAAGAATGGTTCGGATCGCTCCAATAGTGGAGACGATTTCCACCGCAGCATTACCTTCTGGGACCAGGTAATGCTTCGAGTCGACATACTTTACTGCCCCAAATACAGCCCATTCAAATAGAGGGGTATTCGTAAGATCTTCAGTTGGCTCTAGTAAAATTCCTTCAGATGAGTTCTTTATGAAAATTGGTCCGTCCTCAAAGCCCCCATTTACAAACTCGTTGGCTGCAATTTCCATCACAAGAACCGAGTAAGGAAAATTTGAAGTGATACAGTTTCTGCCACAAAAAATAGATTACCAAAATAAATAGCCTTTTACATCATAGAATTAGGGTATCTTAATATTTTTCTTAGAAATGGGTCAAACTTGGTTCAAGATCAGGTAGCAAGGCTATTCATGAGTTTGATCTGAGCTCATGAGTTAATTTAGCTTGCCAATTTTGATGTGTTGCACCAATTCAATACCTCCAGGATAAAAACAGTGCTTAGATATAGCAGATGCCTCTGCACTCAATGGAGATAGGAAGAAATGGTAGATATGGGACATTGAGAGCAAATTTATCGTCCCGAATAACAGTGGAGATAGCTAGAAAACTAGTGTAGTTTCTTTATGAGCTTTTAGTGTCATTTACGTTTGCTCAATATATATGTATGCATGTATATATATATATATATATATATATATATGCAT